ATCTTATAAACAAGACTTGAACAATTATATTTACTAAACTTAAACAGAGTAAGAATTATAAATTTATTTTTTAATAAAAGTTTATGCATAGAAAAGGTTTATAATAAGTACCGTGGAACGAAACCTCATAATTATACATGTTGGGCCAACCTTCGACGAACTTATAGTAAAAAATTTACAAGATATGTTTGGTTTGGAAAAAGGTTTTTTTTTTTTCCTTTATCAAAAAAATTTAGGAGTATTTTAGTATTTCTACATCATAATATTATAAAAGATAAAGGTCAAAGTTAAACACTCTAACTTCTTACTAAATAGAAAACATTAATATAAACTTAATAAAAATTTATTATAAAATTTACAAACTTTTTAGATTGAAATTTTTTAATTTTTCGTATAATACCCTTCAATCATTTTTTTTAATTCTAATAAAATTGACATTTGACATTTAATTCGACATGCAAGAGAAGTGCTAAGTGCACTTGAGAGTTGAGACCTCTTCGGTCTTTCTTCATTAAAAAAAAGAAAGAAAAAAGAAAAAAGAAAAATGCATTTGAGCCAATCACGACCAAGTGTAGCTAGTATTTCTCTTTTCACAATTGAGACTTCCAAATCTAATTGTTATCAATTTTGTCCTCCAACCCTCCCAAAAGAGGAGACAGACAACGTCCAATTCCAATTGAGCCTTTAAGTCCATGTGAAAGTGGAATCCTTTCTGCTTAAAGTAAAAGTAAATCTGTGCATGTAGTTTTGTTTGCTTATCTCTGTTATGAGTTGCATATAGTTAAGATATGAATGAAATGTTGATTATAACGAAAATAAAAGAAAAATAATAAAGCTCAACACTTTTTAATGAACACAATTAAGCCACTGTTTTCTCAAATCTAAACAATATATAGTAAAGAATTTTTTTAAGTTGTATAATAAAAAATTAGTTTTTTAATTGTCACTTAAATTTAAGATTTTTTATTTTTTAAAATTAAATACAGTTTATATAAAGAAATGCTAATTTATTTTTATGGAGACACCCTTGGTGGCTAATTTAGACCCTACCTTTCTTAATACAGGAGCAATGTAAAGCGTATGATGGAGATCAACAAAATTATTTGATGAAATGAGAAGCATAAAATTTAAAGCATTTAATTGATTTTTTGTTATTGATTTTTGATTATATAATAAAAAACAACTTTGTTTTTTTTATTTTTTTAACATATTTTATATGCATGTCATGTAATTCAAATTTAAAATTTTTGACTTTCATTGAAAGAAAAATCACTTAATTACTTAAATGATCAGTAATTAACTAAAATATATATTAATTGTACAATAGAAATCAAATTTTCCAAATCGTCAAACCCGATCCGTCTCTATTTAGTAAGGTATGTGCCATTGCACGTGGGCAATGAATGTTTTGATATGTGATTTTCAACAACCCATTGCCCTTTAATTCAGTGTCCGTGGTGTAGTTAGAGTCTTTTAATAAAAGTCATGTTAAAAAGAAATTGCGATAAAAGTGTTGTTTTCGTAAATTAAAAAAATGATAATAAAATCTGAATACTATGTTAATTTTATTAAAATTCAAATAAGAAATTTATACAGATGCATCAAATCAATGCTTTTGAGGTTTACAATAAAATGAAAAAAAAAAAAAAAAAAAAACTAGCTTGTGAGATGTTGAACATTTTTCACCAATTGTAATACTTGATGTAGCTTTGTGCTTTTAAAACTAAAAAATTATTTTCACAATTTGCACTAAACAGACCTCAAGAGATGTATTATGCCATTACCAGCTCTTCCCTTTACCTGGGATGGAATAATGAACCATCTTGACGAATCGGAGACTGATTCCTCGCATTTGTTTCCATCCAAAACTTAGTGTTTCACTCTTGCGATACTGGGTAATTAACTAGCTAGTAATGCACATTATTTATATGATGAGGGATTTATTTATATATAAATTTTATATATTTTATTTATATAAAATTTTAATTATTTTATTTTTTATTCTCAATAATTAAGATTTATTATTTTTTAAATAAAAAATAATTATTTTTAATAAATATGAATAAATTTCAACTATTAAAAGTAAAAATTAAATAAATAATTAATATTTTGTATCAATATAATATGTAAAATTTTTGTGTAAATTAATCACTACTATATTTATATATAATAAATATCTTTAAAAGTAAAGAGATTGAGCATTTTTTATTACTCACTTGTTATATATCACATCATATTGTAGATATAACTAAACTAATAACTTCTAAAATTTAGGAATTGTACGTATTGGTACACAAGTTTGTATTAAAATTATATAAATATTAGCTGTTATGTTTTGTATAACCGATTTTATTAGTTCATGGCTCTTTTTTATACAATTAATTATAATTTTTAAAAACATCTACCTATAAATTAATTTTAATTTATTAACTAATAAATATTGATTAGTTTTATTAATAAAAGATTACAATTATCAACTATTCTCATCAACCAAACTAAATAAAATTAATGTTTTTAAAGATAATATTGCATTATCTTAACAAAAATTTTTGTGGTTGTAACGAATGCCCAAATTAAGGGCATCATCCAACACTAATTTCTTGCCCATTCATGTAGCTTTCTCGATCTTGTAATTAGTTTCTTTAGAGATAACTAAATTAACAATATTCAAAGTCATTGAAAAGAACAAAAGGAAGAAAGCAAAGATGTTGAAAATATCCAAATTTGGAACCTATACATCAACGACACAACATCAGCTTTAGGTGTATTTGGGATTGCTGTGAATTGCTGTAACTGTAACTATGACTGTACTATGCTATAACTGTGATTGAAAGTTATTTTGTTATTTGGTTATTTATTTTTTAAAAGTATTAAGAATAAAATATGATAAATTTTATAAATTAAAATTTTAAAAATATTGGAAAATAAATAATATTTACTTTTTTAAAAATAATTTAGGATTTTTAAATTTATTATTATTATTGAAATATTATAAATTATGATATAATTAAATTATGCAAAATTGGGTTTTAATAAATAATTTTATAATTGGATAATGATTCATGCATTTACCGGTTCGACACCCGGTGGGTGCACACTCCTTAAAATGAATAATTGTAAAAATAAAATTATAAATTTACCTTTAAAAGCCATTTTTTCCCCACAATACCCCTTTTTTCTTTTTGTCTCTCCATCTTCCTCTTCAACCGTTCAACACCAATTTCTCAACTTTCTTCCCCTTCCCTCTCTTCTTTCCTCTCTTTCTACCTATTGAAGCAAACAAGTTCTTTAACACCTGGGTTTGTGAAAAACCCAGCACCAAATAAGAGAATAGCAAGCCACAAACTAACAAAAAAAATGGGACAACAAAAAAAATAGATTACCAGAAATGAGCTACTGTTCTGGACACAAAATCAGAACCTACAAAACTCCAAATGAAAAACTGACCGTTTCAATGTAGATCAATGTTTCTTAAACACCCAGACAAAATTTCAATTCAATCCAATGATGAAATTTTATGGATTGGACAAAAGAGTAAAGCTACGTGCAGTATCAAAATTGTAGAAATTTCCCCTGTTTTCTTTTCTCTTTTCTGTTGATTGACTCCACTTACATGCACTCCACTTTTTGCTATATTATTCCAAAAACAGGCATGTTTTATGTGCCTAATGGACTACAAAATCATGAGCTAAATTGAGGATGATTTTATGAGAAAATGAACTTTTTCTCAAAATTTGGTGTTGTTGTCATTTCAGAAATTAGTTTCCACTAATTCAATGTTGCTATCATTTAGGAAACTTACTCAAGATTCTGATTTGATGCTTGAATGCTTGATTGAGTTTTGCTAGGATTTAAATGATTTGTTCTTGCTGTCATTTGGGAAATGGGTTTTGTGAGGAAGAAGATGGTTTAAGGGTAAATTTGTAATCTTACTTTTACAATTATTTGGTTTGTGAGGTGTGCACCCACCAAGTATTGAACCGGCACATGAATCGTTATCCTTTACAATTATATTAAATATTAAGTGTTTTTTTTGTAAAAGTCATAGCTAAAAGGTTTCAAAATGAGACTTTTGGTTTTATATATAAAATTACTGTAAAACTGATGCGACTTGTTGCAACCTTTTAAAAAAGCAGTCTGAAAAAAATTACTAAACACACATATATCTAAAAGCGTTGTACAGTTACACGAAAAGCCCCCAACCACAATTCCAAATGCACTATTTCTCAATCAATAATAAATACATTTATTATGTTTTAATGTAAAAATAATATTTCCTTATTTTTTAACAAAGTTTCTTCTTCTCATTAAAAAAAAAAAAGTTTCTTCTATAATTAAAACAAAAATGACAAATTTTGGTGTCTATTTAATTCTTGAAGGTAGTATTTTATATAATATATATATATATTATT